TCTGGAACCGGAACCTGACCAAGGCGCCCTGTACTTTACTGTCCAGCAGGTCGGCTAAAGCCATTTTTTTCTCTTTGAGGCTTTCAATATAATATATTGATTTCTGGTGGACTCACTTAAATGTTCTGGCTCCACTATGTCAGTCTCTAGATCCTTCATAGATCTGGTGCTATCTCGTGTGACGTTTAGTGTGTGCTGTTGACACTATATTCTTATTTGTGTCTTACCATGATCCCACCACACACAAGCAATTTGACTCCGGTTTTCCTTTGTTCTCTTAGTTCAACAGTTTAAAAAAAACAAAAAACAAACAGTGATGAACAAGGACAAAAGACAATAACAAAAGTTATGTACATGTTATGTACACCTGCACCACAGAGGATCAGTCAGCACAGGTGAGAGCTGTTAGCTGATTGATCCTCATGCTTAAAAAGGCAGCAGCAGAGCTGCCTCGTGGGACACACACTGGGGAAGAGACTGGGCGAAGCTAAAGGTCCAGCAGAAAGTGCTGGACCCTTTAAGTGTTTTGTCAGTTCTGTTTGTATTAAATAAAAAGATATTGCTGAGCACCCAATGGTTGGACTGGTTCATCTCTGGCTGTCGTGGTGGGAACCCCTTGGCATGGACTAATGCCACAATGTACAAAAAAGCTAAATAGTTGGTGCAATTGGTGCATAGTGCAAGTCGGAAATAATAAATATACAGTGTGTACAGTATATTGAATGTACAGGTATATTACAGGTGATGTTATTGATATTTGAGTCCGGTTAGCTGTTTGACACAGAGACAGCCTCAGTTACACAGGCCTGAGGAAGGATGTAGACTCCGACCAGAATAAACGAGGAAAACCCCCTTGGTGAATAAAACGGTTTACAGTTTATGAATAATGTCTCCAGGTGAGGACTGCATGATTTGATTAGAACCGTGACATCAGTACACTACATCTGTTAACGTAAAAACAGATTCCGCCTCCCCTCGTTTTCCCCGTGAGCTCCGTTACGCGGTCTGCTCAGTGCAGGTGAAATCCAGGCAGATGTAGAGAAGTGTCCAGGATGTGCTCACCGAGCCAGGTTTCGGTGAAGTACAAGGCAGCAGATCTGTTAAAGTCTGTGTTGTTTTTGTTGAGGAGTAGCAGTTCATCCATCTTGTTGGCCAGAGAGCGGACGTTAGCCAGGAGAATAGACGGGAGCACAGTACGAAGCCCCCGCTGCCTCAGTCGGACGAGTGCACCGGCTCGCTTCCCCCGGTGTCTCCGGCGTCCTCGGCGGAGTCCATAGAGAGCTGCTGCTCCTTCAATAAGTAGCTCTGGAAAACTTTCCAGATCGATGAAAGCCGATGAAAAAACTTTACTGGTGGTTATTCCTTTGTTTATGAGTTCTTCTCTGGAGTATGTGGCCAGAGAAGGAGCACAAAAGACACAACAAATACACAAAAACGTAAAAAGTTCTAGAGAGCGAAGTACTGAGGCAGTCGTCCGTGGCGCCATCTTGATCTCAGACTCATTATTAAAATCACTGTGTGTTTCTTGTAAAAAGAAGATGTCTATTCTTGTCATTTTTGCTGATTCGTAAATGAAATGTCTTTTCTCTTGCACCGTTTACGTTTAAAACACCTATTTTAAAAACATCCATAGTGAGTGAGATGTTAAAAACTATAATAGAAAACAATAAGTTAATTAAAACACACATTTTCCATCACTGCTCAGTTGTTTTTTTGCTTTGAGCATAAGTTTCTTTTATCTAAAAACCTCCTGATCTGTGAGGCCAGACTCTTCCCTCTGGCTCATGTGGAGTCTGGCCGATGAAATAAAAAGTCCTAAGTCTGGGAAGTGTTCTTCCACCTTCACCCCTTGCTGGTTTTTGGTTTGATGTAAGAATTGTTTTAATTTTTCTGTTGTAAACATTTTCTTTTTTTGACTACTGTTAAAACTTGCCGCTGCTGTCAGACACACACTCATTCTCACTCTCATCACTATTCATCTTATTTTCTTCTACTTTGCTGTTTTTTGCATCGTTTGTTGCACCTCTTGTTGATTTCCTGCGTTTTATTGTTTGCTTTGGTTTTACTGTTCTTTCTGCCTCTTCCTCCATCTCAGCCTCCTCCACCTGTTCGCTCCATGGCACACTTTTATCTCCTGTTTTATTTCCTTTATTGACACTGTTTCCTCCATCCTTCCCTTGCTGCTCACTCTTATCTTCACCCCCTTTCCTTTCCTCCTCACCTGTCTTCTCCTCCACCTGTTTAATACAGACCCCACTCCCACCACTTTCTTCTTTCCCTTCACCTCCCACCTCCCTTTCCTCTACCTCACCCAAAACACCCTCCTCACCCAAAATACCCTCCTCACCCAAAATACCCTCCTCACCCAAAATACCCTCCACCCTCACACCCGGTGCATTAACGGAACTCACCCTGTGTGTCGGGTCATCCACAGCGGCGGGTCTCCGCGGAGTGGCGATTGGCCGCTCGGGCTGGGCCGCCGGTTCTGTGGCGACAGGCCCCCTGGGCGGAACACCCGCTACCACAGGAGCGGCGCCCCAGGCAGGAGCCCTCCGTCGCTCCGGTGCCGGTGGAGCGGTGGGGGCTCCAGCGGCACCGGAGCCACCTCCGGGCCATGCTCCACAACCGAAGCACTTCATCAACGATGAAGTGGTGAAGATCACGTAGTCGTAATCATCTACTTTAATGTGGAAGTGGGGGTTGAGCTCCTCGTTCCAGGTGTTAAGTATCATATATAGTTGTCTCCGGTGAGACACCACGTGTTTCAGTAATGGAGACTTACATCCAGACAACATCTTGCGGATCAGGGACGCCACATTCCCGTGTTTGGACAGCTCTCTGCTGAGGAACTCATCGGTTATGAAGGGGGGGACGTTCGACAGGACTGCCTTGGTGGCAGGTTGGGACAGAGGTAGCACCTGTATGAAAACGCCGTTCACGGTGATTCCTGTCTCGACAACCAAGTTCACCTTCTCCACTTGGTCCACGAAAATAACCACGGCACTGTTCATTCGATCGGCCCACACGACCTTCTCCCCCACAGTGAGGCCGATGTCCTCCACGCTGCAGGGTAAGGTGGCAGAGATCTTAACACCATGTTTGAGGCTGAGATGTTTAAAGTTCGTGCTGGTCATGGCGCCTGCCACGCTACCGGCAAAACGCTGGTGAGAGAAATAAACACAAATACACCAAACACTAAACTATAAAGTAATGTGAAATAACGTGATTATTTAACTATGTGAGAAACATAACAATAAATTGTGAGAATATAAAGCAAATGAAACGATTAAATGCTCAGTCACCACCACCAGATCTCAGCTCCACACACACTCACTCCTCCATGACAGAGAGAGAGAGAGAGCAAACAAAACACAGCACGTAACAATGATGGTGATGATTCACATGTATAAAGGAGGTATTGTGTCTACTCCATAGACTGTCTACTCTCAATCGCTTACGGCCATACCACCCTGACCACGCCTACAGCGAGGAACAGAGTGAGACGGCAAAACGGAAAAAAACGAAAACAAGGAAGAAGTGGATTAACACATATAAACACGGGTTATCAGTGAGAGGAGGAGTTATTATTTACAACAATCCCCCCGGGAGCTTTTGCTGTTAGGGGGAATCTCCGCTGAAACATATACAATATGAAAAAAACAAAGACACAGCAAGAGAAGGAGAAGAGAGACATGCGGTGAATGATGGACGTATAGAAAAAGAAAGCAGACAGGAAGATGACACTGAGAGGACTGCGGTCACGCCATCTGCGCTTCGGAGAGGCACAGTCGCGCTATCTACACTTGAAAATCGAGTGCCCGTCTACATCGCGTCGTACGGTAAAGCGTGTGAGCGGCTTCGTGGTGCATTCATGTGCATCCCGTAAACTCAGTAATTTATATCGAAGTTGCTTTTTCTTCTTATTTTCATTTGTTGAAATACATACATCTGTCATTACTTTGTTGTCGTTTTACTACATTCTTTTTAATAATTAAAACTAAATTATTGAAGCACATTCAGAATCCCACTCATTTATGCATAGACAGATTTAAAAACTTCATTAAGAAACAAATCAAATTGTTTTCTGCCGACTCCACCAGATTCTTATTCTACATGTCCCCAGCTACCTCTGTGGGTATTTTCAAGCTCTTTCACTGCATCATTTTCTGATAATCTGATGCTGAAATCATCAGTGACATCCCCTCATCTCTATCTATCACTCTCCTTCTTCCCTTTTGCAGAATGTGGTTTCATTTCACCATTTTTGCTTTTTACTTGCTTGATGTCCTTCTGTTTTTGTTTTGTTCTGTTCTCTTCATGCCTGTGTGTGTGTGACCATATTCCTTATAGGACATCCAGCCCTCCCTGCAGAAGCCCAAATCAACCGGTCATCTTTACCTTCTCTGCACCTCTTATCAGTCCATCATCTGCCTGCCAGGCTCACCCCCAACTAGTTTGATTTTTCGTATACCCGCATGTTATCATATTGTAACAATGGGGATGTGGACCCAAGATCAGGATAAAAAGATGGATAGCAGATCTGGTTTCTAGTGTCTTCATCAGATTTGAATGTAATTGCACAAAAGCACAGAAACACTACTGCCAAACGGGTAAGAGACTGAAATTATCAACAGAACACCAGACAGTGAGCAGTAAGACAGCTAACTCAAAACTGTCAAGTTAAGACTATTTTTATTTTCGTCAAGCCTCTGCCTTGAGTGTGCTGTTCATTTTTCTTTACTATAAATGCAAGATGTACAACAGGTCCCAAGACACTCCTGTCATGACTTTCATGTGGAATTACTTCTGATTTATTTGAAATATTTTGATGGTAAACTGATGTAAAACCATAGTGTAAAACGCACATTCAGTTCTATACATTACAATGTTTTTATTGAATAACTTCTCAAGTTATCCAGAAACAACTTTCAGCATATAGCAGCATATAGCAGAACTGAAGCAACAGCACAACACAATACATGAACAGAAGCCCCGTGAACACATCCACACCACACACAACAGAGGGAATGACCCCGCCCCAAGGCTGGCAGGACCAGGGCCAGGCCCCACAACTTTCACTCTTGATTTGTGCAGCTTTCACAGTTGCACTTCTGCAGTACTGTCCAAAGCTTTGTGTGGGACAGACACACAATTTGGGTGGTACCAAGTACTGCAGTTGCTGCACTGCACCATCACCTCTCTGTTGTGTGAGGTCCTGCAGATGCAGTGAACCTCAACCTGAACTGAGGCCCTTTCAGGCTTTGCCTTTATGTTTTTATACAGAAAGACTAGAGCCGTTTTGTTCAGCAAAGCTCTGTACAGTCTTTGTCTCATGTTGTTTTCCTGAAACTGGCACTCCTCTGGCCTGACTCCCTCACATAACACTGATGCAAAAGCCAATGCAAAAGGTCCACAACTGCTAGCTGACTGCTGCATCTGCATGGCAGGCCTTCTAATGAGGAATTGAGGTGCTTGTGGACGAAATAACCAGGAAAGTTTTTGCTTTGTCTTCTTGTTGGTGTTTATATTCAGACTGTCATAAATGCAAAGCTCATTGGGTCCACAGAAAATATTACTTGCTGTGATCCAGTGGTTGTCATTTACATTTAATATTTGCACAAATGACTTCTCTGGTGTCCCAACCACACCTCCCTGGTGAAGAGCCTGATGGCAAAGGCAGGACTGAAACCCATCTACATCAGGGAACTTCTGTGCAAGATGAAAACAGGCTGAATCCACTTCGTCACTGCTGAGCCAAGTTTTGTGGTCCAGGATGCTTAGCATTTGGTCTTGGTAAATGAATGCTTGTCTAATTCGATGGCTTGGATGACTTCCTCTGGTGAGTGCTTTGTCCAAAGTGGTCCATGGCTCCTTTGCTTTTGTCCTGTAGGCTTATGCATTTTCTTCCTTTTCTATGAGACAAACAGCATTCAAACACACAGTTTATTGTAAAATGTTGTCCTACAATTGACTCTCCAGCTCCTCTCCCTCTTAGACATTTCTTTAATCAGTCTTGTCTCACAAAAAATGTTTTGTCAGTTTGTGTTACCTGTTCATGCCATGTGGATTACATAAATCCAGTTACTATTTAGATAAAAATGTGTTTATGCATATGGAACTGAGACATCATCAAGTCCAAAATGTATTTGTGCTTATTTATTAAGTTGGTATTATTAAGTATACCAATAAGGAAATCAAAATAAGTATTTCCACTTGCTTACTATAATCTATATCCTAATTAGGTTTATATAGAAAGTTATAACGGAGTAGTTTTGGTTGTCAAATTATGCTCATAGATGGGCATTGCTTAAGATGTTGTTTTGCTGTCGAGTGAACATTTGCTTGCTGGCACTTAGGCAGCAGTCACCTGTTACATTTCAGGAAAAGCATTAAAAACTAGAAAATGTTGTAAACAGTGTCAATAGATGATAAATGTATCCAACATTTTTGGCTAATCAAATCATTTCATTAGCTCTTCAACCGCAAATCATATTTTTGCAATGTTAATGTTCTATGAACATTACAAAAGGCAATTAAATAAAGTGCACCTTCAAACCATGTGTGTCCTGGGTAACTGGTTTTTGGTCCCCATGGTTCTTGGATGTCACTGATGCTGATTGGTTATCAGCTGGAGCTTTGCTTTTTGTCACTTGAGATGCAGTCACCTGATTCGTTTCATGAAAAGCATTAGAAACTTACATTTTTTTTCCAAAAAGTGTTATTGATTCTAAATTTATCCAAAATGTTTGGTTAATCAAAATATTTCATGTAGTCTTCAACTGCTTGTCATATATTTTGCAATGAAAATATAAATGCACATTAAAAAAGGCAATTAAATAAAGTGCATCTTCAAATCATGTGTCTCCTCGGTGACTGGCTTTTGGTCCCCATAGTCCTTAGCTGCCACTGATGCTGATTGGTTATCAGCTGGAGCTTGGCTGGTCGTCACCGGAGCTGGAGCCACCTGATTCATATAAGGAGAAGCATTAGAAAATTGCAGTTAGTTTTCAAACTTTTTTCTATGCTAAGTACCATTTCCAAAGGTGATTCAAATTACCATTGTTTTTTTCTCTTTGAAGTGGAATGGCTGTTTGATGGAGGTAACATAAACTCCTCTCCTACTTTCCTTTAGCTGCCTCCACCTCTCCTTCAGAATACGGTGCTCCCTTAAGAAGAAATATATGAATTCATATATAAGTAATATGAATCATTTTGTGGTGAAAGTGACATGTTTCTAAACCTATGTTTTGTAACAGATACATAAGAAAAAAGATATTCTCTGTCTTTAAATCTGTATTCAATACAACACATCACAAATTCTGTATGTCTTTGAGAGTTACTCTTCAGGCTAATTTCCCAACTGTAAAGGAACGTGCCACTCACTCACTTAAATTAATTATTATTAGAAGTTATTTATTTTGACTATAACATATATACCACTTAGCTGGCCAGCTGTTGATGCTACTTTTGCTTAAGGCATTAACTACTGGATTACAACAAGCCAAGGTCTTCTGGAACTGTTCCCTGCTGCCTTTGACCAGGTCAGGAGAGTGCAAGCAGTAAGGGAAATAAAGTTTGTTCATGATGGTTAAAGGGTGGTGAAAGGGAAAAGATCACATGGTAACCGAAACTGAAAAATGTCATCATATGAATGTTATCATATGAATGTGCTTTCCACATTTCATTGACTGTCTGCTGATTACATTTTGAAGGCTAAAATTCATGGCGTAGGCCTTAGACTCGAGTAGCCCCCCTCCCCTTTTTATTTAAAAGGATGGACTGTTTTATTGGCATTCTAAAGTACAAATTACAAGTAAAATAACTTCACAACTCTTTGCAACTATCCTTTGCCTTTCTCAACAGTGGTACCTGCTTGTATAATAGGACATCACACTACTGTGTGACACAGACACAAGCTATCAATACACAATGTCAAAAAAAACTTCCCAAGATTTTTTTTGTACATTGCGAAGCACATAACAAACTTGAATTGCATTCATTCAATGACATATTGTGCTTGAAGCATGGACAATGTTTTAGTCTCTGTAGTAATATGGTGATAAATTAACATATTTGTCAAGTATAACCTCTTTTTTTAAAGCTACAGATATATAAAATATACTGTAAGGTGTCTCACCTTTCTTTTAGTGATTCGTTGCGAGTCATGGAATTCCCTTAAAAGGGCTTTGTGAGTATCTTTGTAAGTGTTAATGAAGTCATCTAGTCTGGTCAGTCGTCTTCCTTTAAAGCGGACTTTTTCAAGTCCCACTGACTCTTTTCCATCACTCCCTGTGTCTTGTTGTCTTGCATGAAATTCTGACAACAAAAGAACAATCATTGTGTCTTATCAATGGCTTTACTATACTTTATTAGTTATTATGACTAAAGTAATAGGTTTAAACTCTCCATGAAATTTCTAATATTCATCCAATTTATACTTCACCTGGCTTTTTTTCACCGATATCTTGGCAAATTTCCTCCACCAATTTCCTCAACCATGCCTGCCGACGTCACCTGAAGATGTAAAACATGACTTTTAGATCATTTTTGGACATAGTTAAAGGATACATCTCTGCATACATTGTACTCAATCAGAATTGACTGGACCAAATGTCTCAACAATACACCCAATATACACTGACATGTAGATTTTGACCAAATGTTGGTGAGAGAGGCAAGGTGATGTGATGGTTAGGGTGGAGGAATAAGAACAGAGTCACCACAGCAATCCACTAATTGTATTTCCTGATAGCTGACATTTTGGCTTGATGTTTACACTACAGGAAACTGGCAAGGTTCATGACCCTTGAATTTATGAACTTGATTTCATGTCAATTAGACGAATAGATTGCAAGATATGTTGCATTTGAGCAAATCCAGTGTTAGTTCCTGCACTGGCAGTGGGACAAAAATGTTAGGGACAGCTGACAAACAGTTTTGGGTCACAGGAAGTGCACAGTAACGTTAAATTGATGTTTTTGAACCATAAATATTTTTATGTTATTAATTGGTCTCATTCAAACTGAAAACATTTAAAATGGTAACTGACCCAGCATCATACTTGTCCAAAGAGCTGCCTGAGGCAAGAAGTAAGCTGCCAACGACGAGATGAATGTCTCAGAGTAATAGACATTGGGGTCCCCTTCTTTGTCTAGGGGTTTATGACATCCATGAAGTGTTGTTGAAAAGGTGTTGGACCGAAGGTGTCCTAAAAGAAGAAAAAGACAAATTTGATTAACAAAAGACATTATTTCGAATCATTATTTCGAGATTTAGTGGGTACCTCAAGGTCCTCAGGAACAACGCTGCTGTCATCAACAGTTGAGTCCCCAATGGTTGTCAGCATTGTTTGAATGTTGTTGGAGTGCTTCTCAACATTTTCTGAGCTGCATGGGCTGGAGAAGATGACAGTGCAGCTGAGGAGCATTTCATCTAACTCACCAATGGAACTAGCTGATGTCAACAGTCCAAACACATGCATGGCCAGCTTGTAGTTCTTGGGCGCACTACGAGAGAAATACAAATTATTGCATTGTCTTAATAAGCACTTTGTTGCTAATAGTATAGATATCACTTACTGCTTTTTGCACAAAGTTTTTGCATTTTTCATTATGTGACTGAGACAGCGGTGGAGGATAGGATGGCTGAAGTCTTGAGCAGTGCCTTTCCCTGTTAGTATGTTATAATAACTGTGGAGCAAGGCATTGAGGTTTGTTTTGCAGAAAGCCATTGTTAAGGTCTGCATGAGGACCATGGAGCCATCACATATAACCATGAGTGGACTGATGTTTTTATGTCCATATTGTTTGGCATGATCTGTCTGAAAGGAACTAAGAAAATAAAGAACAGAGGCCGTTGTGTGGTCACAGGTCACATACGTAGCGACAGGAAAAGGAGAGGAACCCTTCTTTGTGTTTGTGACCACCAGCTCATACACATAAAAAGGACCCTCGCTGTGTTTTGATTTCTTAAGAATGCTTGCGGTTGCATCTGGGGACACTATGTCCTCTTTAGATTGGTTGTGGAATATGCTGATGCTTCTCTTGGACCAAAGCATCACATCCTTTGGATGAAGTATCACTTTCTGAAGCACTTTGTCAGATTCAGCTTTTTTTTCTTCTACCATCTTCAGGAGACTAAGAGTTTCATTCTTTGTCTACAGGAAATGGATGATGAACACCTGATGATGGTGCTTCATCTCTACAACCTGACTCAACCACTAATTCCTCAAGTTTTTCCAAGCTTTCAAGATGAAGTGCCCTTGGGAGGGTGTTTTGAAGTTGCTGGTGTATTATTTTTTGATTGTCTTCTCTGACAGGTCGCCTTTGCAGCTCTGTTTCAATATGCAATGCTGTTTTGCCTCTGAAGTACACGTGTGCTTTAAGTGTGGTCTCACTGTGCACAATGACATCAACGTCCACTGGGCAGTCACTGAACAAGCAATGTGCAGAGCATTTAAAAAGAGGTGCATTCCTTGTTGATCCACCAACTTTGACTCTGTGTCCTAAAACTGCAAAACTGCAATGTGGATGGATTTTGCATATACCGGCTGAAATTATGTTAGTCCATTGCCGTCCCTTGAAGTGGTCCTTCTTTGAGTTTTCCGTAGTTTTGTCCAAGCATTGCAAGGAAAAAAAAGGTGGTGCTGGAAGACTCTGTATAAAGAATTCCTCTTCTTTGTCATGAGTGTCATCATCTTCATTGTTACTCTAACTGTCACTGTCTACTTTTTGGACCTGCAAGACAAAACTAGTAATTTAGGAAACTATATTTTGTTTGTAAAGTAGTTAGCCACATTTTATTGTGTAATGATTTGAGATTAAACATTTGCGACGGTTTTGTAAAAATGGCTACTGGTGGTATACATTGTAATAAATGTGTACCATATGTATTTAATGTAATTCCTTACATCTTCCTCTGGCTGGGCATATGTCGTCTCCTGTGCAACTTCCTCTTTTAAGTCTTCCTCCTCTTGTATTATATCCTTTTTCATTGCATGTTGCTTTCTATCTTCTTCCATGTTTTTGAAAAGGAAGAAGATATCTCGTGTGTTCTTCCTCTTGTGCATCTTCCTCTTTTTGAACCATTTGTATCACCTTTGATTCCTCTTTATTTCCATCCTCTTGTCCAAATTATTTCTCTTTTAAAGCTTCTTCCTTATTATCCATTATCCTCTTTTTTGATGTCAATTCAATTCAATTAAATTTTATTTGTATAGCACCAAATCATAATATACATTATCTCAAGGCACTTTACATAGAAGGTCAGGACCTTAAAATCTAAATAGAGAGAAACCCAACAGTTCCCACAATGAGCAAGCACTTTGGCAACTGTGGAGAGGAAAAACTCCTCATTCAGGACAACTTTCACATCCTGTGCACCTTCTGCCTGTCACAGTCAGTCTCCCATCCTTCCACCTCTCAGTACTTTTCCATGGACTCCGCCTCTGCTTCATCTACCAGCCAAGCCACACCCTCTCACCAATCCAACACAGCTGCTCCTCATCACCTGCAATCAGTCCAGTATATATTCACCAGCTCCACTCTCAGTCAGTTGCTCTATTGTTCAATGCCTTCATGCAAGACTTTCCAGCATTCATCTCCGGACTGATTCTTTGTTACCAACCCTGCCTGTCTCTGACTAACCTGCCTCGTCCGAAACCTGGTAATCACCTCTGCCTTCCGTCCCTGACCAAGTCTTCTGCCTTTTGCTGTTTGTATTGCCTGCCACCTGATCTGCTGTGAGCTGAGAATAAAGACTGTTACCAACTGTCCATGCTTGTTGTGCTGCATTTGGGTTCAAACCATACCCGTTACACTGCCTCTTGAACTGAGTCCCTGTTCATACTCTCTGATTACATCTTCCTCTGGCTCGTCGTCTCCTGTGCAACTTCTTCTTTTAAGTCTTCCTCCTCTTGTATTAAGTCCTTTTTCATTGCATGTTGATTTCTATCTTGTTCCTTTTCAAAAACGTCCATCTCTCCATCCTCTTGTCCAAATTCTTTCTCTTTTAAAGCTCCGTCCTTTTCATTATCCTCTTTTTTGGTGTCCTCATTGTGAGTAACTCTCAAGTCAAGTGCAGCTTCACACTCGTTAAGTCTTTTTCCTGTGCATCCTCTCCTGTTATATCCATATTATTTTGGACATTGCACATCTCCTGTTCATCTTCCTCCTCTGGTACAAGTTCTGGTACATCATTGTTGTCCACAACAGTGTCAGACTGTGCTGTATCTCCACCTGAAGCCTGTTATTTGAAACATGAAAAACAGTTTAATAATATACTATTAGATAGATACATAGATAGATTTGACAGACCTTAATACTTCCCCTGTTTTCTGCTCAGATAATGAATCCTGAAGTTTTTGGATGTGCTTTGAAATATCCTCATGAGATACATATTTTCTTTTAGACTGTTGAGGCAAAAGCACATTTTTGTACCAGTGGTAAACAGGTATGTTTTACACACAAATAGTACACAGAAGAAAATAATATGCATGCTTAAAATGTTATGTTATTGTCAAAAATGATTTGCCTCTCTTAGTGCATATTCAAATTTGGAAATGCATTAGAGTCCGATTCTTACCTTTCCAAATGTTTTGAAGACAATTCTAGATGGAAAATATTTAAGAAAAAAGCACAATTAAGTTAATTTTCGACGTAAGTACTTTAGAACAGTTAGTAACAATAGTAGGCAATTTTTTAGTCCACTTCATAATAATATTTTCCTAGACACTAACGTTAATAAACGTTGTCCAATTCACATAAAATGAACAATCCCACTGTTATTAAAAAAAAACAAAGAGCGCCTAAACAAGAATCAAAGGCAAGCACAAAAAGATCATGTCAGTATGCAAAAACAAACTCACCCATATTTTCCCTTTTGCTCTGTCATTCTTTCAGATCAGATCAAGAGAAATTTCCAGTGAGAAGGAACGAGGAGTTGTAGATTTAATATTTGAAGGGTTTGTCAATTAAGCTTGGCCTATAGGATAGCGTAATGCAGTTAAAGGGATGCGTTAATCATGTAGGCTAATAGCATCTCTCGTGAATATGTGACGTACTGCTCATGCGTTTAGACATGCAGGATATTGACCTATGGGTGATCACTATGTGTTTCTCTAAGATGGCCTCTTATTTTTCCTTGTTTAATTTCATATTAATTGTCTAGAGAAGTTTTCACAAATTACTAGCATAAAAATTAATAATGTACTTGTTGTGGTCTATGTGGTCCAACGTTGCAGAAAAAATAACAGTTCCATGTGGTAATTAAAATGGGCATGGCCCATTCTGGGGGATTGCAGCATGAAAGTTTATAAGAACCCTGTCACTTGCATGGAAGATTTTGTTGACAATTTTAATAAAATGTCTTCTCAGATTCCCAAAGAAACTGAATATTGATAAATCTAATGTAGCAATTCTCGACATATTTAAAAATGATTTAACAGAACTATGTATCAGCGAAGATCACATAATGAGGACACTACAGTTAAGACTTTAGACTTTAAGACTTTAGTTACACAACTCAAACTATAATTTATTTTCCATCCTAATGCCTACACTGAACTGTCGACATAGTGTGGCTCTGAGGTTTAAGGGTATAGGCAATCTATCTAGCTGTGTACAACGTAATATTGTTATCAATAAATATTTTATTTGCCTAGTCATATGAATCCAAACTTTTTCAAAAAGCTGGAAAATTAAGTACAACATGGAGATGTGAAATTTAAAAAAGGGAAATAAGTAAAAATCTGAATCAGGTCATGTCCATTACTCCAGAAACTTGCCAGACACATCCTCCCCAAACATCAGAACAAAATCCTGTTCTACCTAGGGTGAGTATAGTGGAGAACTTCAAGATTTCACAGCCAGATGAATTGTGTTAATTGTTGGACTTTCACAAAAATACACACATACTTTTTACATAATTATGAAATTTTCAGAACACTGTCAAAATAATGAAAATCAATTACCAAGCCTTTGACGTCTTTGAAACGTGGAAAGACAGACGGTACGTTGCTCAACTGCTGTGGGTCAAGGACCATGTTGCGGCGGAAGTCAAATGTCAGCTTCATCTTCTTCTTGATCAGCTGAATTTTTAATCGTGATTGCTTCCTTAGACTCATTTTCACTCAGGACAGTCTCTGGAACAAACTGGGGCTCTCGTCTGGCAGCTGGTCCTCCAGGCCCATCTTCATGAGATGCCCCTTCAGATGATGCTACACAATATGGAAAAATACCACATTTTGACAACTATATAAATGTACAGGCAAAAAAAAAACAAACAATATTTCAGAACTTCTTATTATAGCATTACCTCCATATGATGATCGTCTGTCTCTATAGTGGATCTCTGAATAGTTTTAATCCTCCAGGCCAAGTACCCAGTGCCACTCTCGCCATCATAATAATGCTCCTTGGAGGGTGAAAGAATAATAAAAACAGACACTCCATTAATGACATTTTTTTAAGTTAAGGTGCTTCCAAGTAATTTTGGACACAACAAAAAAGAGCCATTATAGTGTGTGACTGACATAACTGGTCCTGGACAATGGATCACTGAGGAATAAACTCACAATTCCTCTGGCATACATTTCTTTCATCTGTCTGGGGGGTGATGTACTGCAAGATTTAAAAAAGTAAAAATTTCTTACATGCACTGAATTTAACAAAGATTTGAATTAAATCTAAAAGCTACATTGAGTTAACTGAAAACTATTTACAAATTACCCATTCTTCTCTGTCATGTCAGCTGCCAGTATGTTCACCATTTTCCTTCTGGATTCATCTGTCAGGGACTTGCTTAGATTATATTCCTTTATTATGCGTTCCCCACCAGGTTTCATGGCAAGAATGGATTCCACCAACTTCAAACAAAGAGCAAAACATTTCAGCATGTTGAGAATACATCCCATTAATAAGTAGGGATTTTAAAAAAGATATAAAAAACAAAAGGTCATTAAAATAACACTATATTCTTTTTTATGGCCTTGGTGGCCTAATAATTCCTGTTCTTCTCAGGTGTTTGTGTGTTAATTCTTACGTGCTTGGCTTCTGTGTCCAGCCTCTGCCGTTTGTTGGAAGGACTCTCTGAAAGGATGTCTGTATCTTGAGAATCAGACGAATCATGGGATGGTGTTTCAGACTGCTCAGGACATGCCATGGAGACAGATTCTGACCATGATAGGAGCAGATAGAAGGAAAAACACGATTCAGAAGTAACTAGCATGTCCATTAAACACTGTAATATAAATTACAAATGTAACTGAGACAAACCAGTGTTATATTTGATGGTTAGCACTCCAGCTGAGGGTCCTTAACTACATCCTCAAATACATCGTCATCCAACCCGAACTGTCCAAAACCTTCACACCTTCTGTTACAGCTGGCACACCGAACTTTGCAAATGCTACAGGAAAAGACAAATGCTTGTGTAAACCAGACTTATGAATTCATGTTGGTCTATCACTCACAAATATCCAATGAATCTGGAACATTACTTTTGAACAAAGCATGCATTCAGAGTTACTCAATGTGATTAGAGATGGTAACATTTGCACTCAAAAGTTACTATTACAGTTACTCTTAGCACCTTTAAGCTTCCAGTGCAAAGCTTGATTCCAATGTCAAATTCTTACCTGCAATCAAAAACTCTTTTAGGTCCAGCTCTGTTATTCTTAAAAAATTTTGGACATCACCAAGTCTGACCTTAATCAACATGGTTCCTGCAGCACATAATTCCACATTGTCACAACCATATATGCTTGTTATAACATAAACACAAATATAAAAGCAAGTGCATGGTTTTCAACAGAGCAGCCCTGCAGCAACACTTTTATGAATAATGTTCAATTTGAGAATAAGATAATGTTTTGTTTGTTTCAGGCCACCAAACAGCAGACAAATGATCAGCTATTTGCAGAAATGACATGCATGGGATCAGGTCTACTTCAGGGCTTTCCACCAAGGCGCAGACTAGCCAGCCATATTAAATGAATAGCGGGGGGTGGCGGCTGTTGGTGGTGGTTAGGGTTAGGGGTTACGCGTTACGCCATAGCCACGATCATATACACTGGTGAAATGAATGAATGAAAATACACTCTCACATGTCGCAGGTGGTGCTAATTGAACGCTTGAAAAGAAGACTGGATTGCCGGTAGGGGCTAAACGATGCGATGCGGTTAGGCTTTCTTTGGGAGTCTCTCTTTTTAATACGCACTGATTAAAGTGACGAAATTTTGCAGTGGATAGCCTGAGTAAGTAAGGACGTACCGTTTTATAGTGACATAAGCATCAGGTGAGCTCTGCTCCTGTCGCCTCCACACCGCTAAACGCGCGCACTCACCTTTTGTGGAAACGGTCAAGTTGGACACGTGTGCATTTTAAGCTAGGTATTCACTCGGTCATGTTAGCCTTCTCGAATTTGTTGTTAAGATACAAAACCCGCTCAAATACGGGGGGCAAAAACAAAATGTTCTTCTAAAACACCATTTCTGTTGAAATAACAACTTAAAACTGGGTTAATATGTGGAAATAAGACACTTACCGCATTCGTTCGACGGTGAGAGAAATGGCGTCCTGAAAAATCTTCGACGGTTGAAAGAGGAGGAAGTGGGCGGGGCTTTCCAGAGTAAAATTAACACGACGTCTTTTAACTCCGGAAATTTTCACCAACACTGGGGGGCATCCTACTCAATCTGTTGTTGTAATAACTCTGAAAGAGTTATTGAACTTTGACACTCACCTATAAAAAAATAACACATTTTAAATATGAGTTCAACCCGTGGAGCGATGATGCCTATATGCACCTGTGTGTCGGAGGTTCAGACAATAAGAGAGGAGGGGGGATTTGGTGCCTCAATTCCAGCCTCTTAAAGGACTCCGTTTTTAAAAAGAAAATAGAAATAATGACTTGAACTTTGCAGATGATGTTTGTGAATATTTAGAAGAGGTGAAAAATAGAATCTAAAAAGTATGTATGAATGACAGTAAAACCAAAAACTGTGAGGAAAAGAAACAGGAGAGAGAAAGTAATATACTCCTCCAAAAAGGGATGCTAGAATGTGAAAAAAAATCCAGACCATAATTGTGAAATGTTTAATGTATATAAAGCAAAAATAAATTGAAAAGAAAAGATGTATGGGTGCCATTATGAAAAGCAGAGCTAAATATGTAACCGAGGGGGAAAGATGCATTTCTTCCTGGGTCTAGAAAAAACTAATCAGAATAGAACTTATATTGAAAAAAAACAGTGGAAACACCAGAGGACATATTGTCAGCCATACATTTTTTTTCAACTATTTTCAAGTTAGGCAAATAACTGTGAAGAAGATAAATTGGTAATAAATAGCATTAAAGCAAAACTAGAAGAAAACGACAAACAATGGTGTGACATGCCGATCTCCTTAGAGGAGATTGATACTGCAATCAAGGGCCTAAATAAAAACAAAAGTCCTAGGGTGGATGGTCTACCTGCAGAATTTCATATGGGATTTAAAGATCAACCTCATTGACAATCTGTGCTTTCATCAACTGTTTTAATGTTCAGGGAAAATAAACTGAAGGTGTCATTTTGTCCTAGTATTGCAAGCAAAAAAATAATTTGAATTTTCAATAATTCCCTTCATTAATTATGTCAGGGTTACATATACAGTTTTTTCCTTAATGCTGATTAAACTCACTGTTCTCTCCAAACATGACATTTTGACACTGACATGTTAAAATGACATGAATAAAGTAGTGTTTAGACTACAAAAAGTCTTTTGAATGCTCACTCTCTTCCTTCAGTGATGATGTGAGGGTTCCATATCCTTTTTTTCTTTGATGAACAGTCTTTCCTATGGAGGATGAGAAATGACTTAAGTTTAAATGAATACATAAATGTGGGAATTAATAAATAAATGTCTTAATCTTATTTCAACATTTATTTATTTATGTATTTCTGTGTCATATTCAAATGAGTAAGGGCGGTCCTAACCTCAGTCTTGAGCAGGATTGGTCACAGGAGTGTGATGATCCAGTTCTACTACTTTTGCGTTATCAGGACCTGATCAGTACATGAAGTAACTCAGTATTTGTTTGATTCCAGAGTTTATGAGATTCTTTTAAACATCATGAAAAATGACTCGTCAACATGTGCTCAGTACAACATGAGAGGAGACAGGACTTACTTATTACTCATTACTTGTTATTTCTCCATCACCCCAACCAGTCCTGGCAGAGGCCGTCCACACCGAGCCTGGTTCTGCCGGAGGTTTCTTCCACCTGGGAGTTTTTACTTCCCGCCTTTGCTCATGCTTGCTTGGTGTGGAACAAGTTGGATTTTGTGTTTCTTAAGATCTTGGACTTTTGTGCAGCACCCTGAGACAACTGTTTGGTGTGATACAGTGCTTTATAAATAAATTTGATTGATTGATTGATTGATTGATTGACTCAGTGATAAAATGACCGGAGCGACACGCAGACATGATCCGACACCATGGATTAATAACTAAACACATGATCGTAAATTTGTTACTAAATCATCCCAAAAAAAGATGAACTATGAACTCGTTGTTTTTAAGTGTAAACTGACACAACACTGCAAACAGCAACTACTGCACCACAGTCGGCATTGTCAAAATTAAGACATTTATTTATTTATTTATGTATTTATTTATTTATTTCCACATTTATTTATGCATTTATTTATTTATACTTAAGTAATTTCTCTTCCTCCATACATTCCTGCTCTTTCCAAGATGTGTCTCCTCTGAAGCAGTAGCAACACCGCCCTCTGCTCTTTGCAAAGAAAAGTGTAAAAAGCTTACAGCACCTGGTATTCCCAGACGGTCTCCCATCCAAGTACTAAGGCCCGACCCTGCTTAGCTTCTGAGATCGGACGAGATTGGGCGTGTTCAGGGTGGTATGGCCGTAAACAACTGAGTTATGTCACAAGACCTCCTTTATACATGTGAATCATTACCATCATCAATTGTTCTGTTGCTTTGCAACCATGGAATCTTGAGGTGGGGGGTGTTTAAATTGTCCAGAAAAACAAGCTCAAGGTGCAATTTTGTCATACTTTTGCAAGAAAAAAATCATTACAATTTAAAAAGAGTTTCATACGTACAAGTTTTTCCTTGATGCAGAGAGAACTCCCTGCTCTTTCCTCGCTCTCTCCAAAATGACATTTTGAAAGTGATATGTTAATAAAACATGAATAAAGTAGTGTTTTGATTATAAAAAAAAATCTTTTGAATGCTCACTCTCTTCCTTCAGTGATGATGTGAGGGTTCCATATCCTTTTTTTCTTTGATGATCAGTCGTTCCTGCTCTTTCCAAGATGTGTCTCCTCTGAAGCAGCAGCAACTGCACTATCTGCTGGCGGCAAAGAGAATCATCACCCTAATCCACAGTTTTGTTGCTTTGTGACCATTGACACTCTGGGGTTCCTTCAACTGTTTTAATGTTCAGGGAAAATAAACTGAAAGTGTCATTTTGTCCTAGTATTGCAAGCAAAAAAAAATCATTTGAATTTTCAATCATTTCCTTCATTAATTATGTCAGGGTTACATATACAGTTTTTTCCTTAATGCTGATTAAACTCACTGCTCTCTGCAAACATGACATTTTGACACTGACATGTTAAAATGACATGGATAAAGTAGTGTTTTGACTACAAAAAGTCTTTTGAATGCTCACTCTCTTCCTTCAGTGATGATGTGGGGGTTCCATATCCTTTTTTTCCTTTGATGAACAGTCTTTCCTGCTCTTTCCAAGATGTGTCTCCTCTGAAGCAGCAGCAACAGCGTCATCTTCTGGTTGCAATCATTTTGAATTAATAATAATGTCCGTCACTAATATCGCCACTGCAAACTCATTTCCTACAAAAAAACAGGTGTATGGTCTTACATTTTGGCCAAATCATCTGTATGTGCGTTTTGATTATGAGATTAAAAATGGTTAAAACTTTGATGTCTTCTGACATTTGCACTTGAAATGTGTATTGTTAGGGGCCCAAGCAAGTGAGTTTGAAAATTTTGAGCAATTTGTACACACAATATAAATAAACTTAAATGAATAGCCCAGAGCTCTGTGTTCTATTGTGAAAAAGCATCTTGACTCTTCAAATAATACATTTCACCCTGAAGTAAACTGAAGCATCCTGCAATCTTAGATTGACAGTCATTCTGCATCATTTAACGTTGCTATGGTAACTGCTTACCCTCCTACCTTAGGATGTAGTTATTTCAGGCGTGCTAGTCAAACATTGCATTTGCTAGAAAACAAGAGCACCACACTGACAGACAAGAAACAATACATTCCAAAGAACCAACATGCATTAGTAGACTGTATCATTGTGAGACCTACATTGATCCAACTTACTTCAACTGTTATGGTCTTTCCTGCCATGCTCCCAATCTCTCTAAACCTCATCTGTCTCTGAAGCACTGTGATTATGAGTCACAAAAGCTATTTGGTTTCCACTGACACAAAGCCTGAGAGCCACAGAACTGAAATGCAATTTGTTGGCATTATGATTGACTACACTAAAGCTATTGCTCACTTGGAAATTCAGATTCCATTTGTCTCATTTCGTATTTTTTAATTGCATCTCCTCATATCAGATTGTTGCTGTAAATCAGTACATTGTAAGTTTTAGGGTTTTTACCGAATAAATATTTGCATGAATGTCCATCAATCAGTAAGAACATATTCTTTTAGAATAGCTCTCAGTCCAAAGTGCCTTCAAACAAACAAAGCACTGTTTGTGGAGCACCAGCAGACTAATACTGGATGACTGTCACACAGCTACTGTGCACGTGGTATACAGACCATTAGTGAAAGATGCTCAGCTGTGAGATCCACACATGTGGAGAGGGATTCAGCTAATTAGGCAGAGGGAGAAGTCACTTCCTTTGTCTGCCTCTGTGGTCATACTTAAGAAAGCTGCCTTGTGTTTGGTTGTTTGCAGCAATGGGTTCCAGCCAGCTAATTGTGTTTGGTTTTGTGCTGACATGTGGGAGGATTATTGATGCTCGATTTCTCAGTATTAGAACACCAAACTACTGGGAGGTTGAGCCTGCAGCAGCAGAGCCTGAAAGGAAGAACTCCAGGTTGTCTGTTGAACAAGCTCTCAGGCTCCAGATAGAGCAGACCCAGCCACTCTCCTGGAGGTTTCCAGAAGATCCAGTGGATCCTGTGATCACACCTCCTGACAAGTTTGAACTGCGGCAGCCGGTGACGACCAACCGCGTTGCTGTGAGGTGTGGGGAAAATAAACTACAGGTGGAAGTGAGTCAGGACCTGCTAGGCCTCGGCATGTTGATTAAACCTGAGGAGATCATGCTTGGTGGTTGTTCAGCCACTGATGTTGACAACTTGTCTCATGTGCTTGTCTTTGAATCTGAGCTGCACGGCTGTGGCAGCACACTTGTGGTATGAGAATTTTATTACTTTAATCCATTCACATAATGGTCATGGACAAATGTTTGTTTCTAAACTGTTTGTTTTTTCCCTTAGATGACAGAGAATGCCTTCATTTACGCCTTCACATTGGTCTACAACCCTAAAGTGTTGAGCAGAAGTGGCATTATACGGAGCCAGAGTGCGGTCATCGGAGTAGAGTGCCACTACCCAAGGTGAAGAGAAATCTGGCAGCAAAGTCCCCATCAAGTTTACTGTGGGAAAATGAAATGATCACCTGTTTACTGGCAATTTACAATAAAAAAAAAAAAGTGTGAACTTGTTTCAACTTTTATTGTAAACTATTGACAAATATTGTTTTAGGCATTTTGCCTTTGTGTGTTGCAGAAGGTTACTTACACAAATAAGTGTTTTATGTCAGGACTAGTTTGTAAAAGCTAAATCTTTAGTCGCTCATAATGTTCTTAACCACTTTCATGCCAAACAGATGGTTTCATTACACTAAAATAAAATCTAGAGTAAATGTTAATGGAAACCATCTGGGGCAATGGGTTTTAAGTGTAGAGGAAAAATTGTAGAGGTACATTACCAGTGAAAATATTTTTCCTATTTATAAAATATGCTTTTATATAGAATTGACAATTTCTGTTTTTAAATTCTATTTCTAAGAGTGTGTAAAAATACATCTTAGGGAAAAAAAACTTCCTCTCTGTATAAAATATCACCTCATGCTCAGTACCAAAATATTTTGAATTTTGTTGGATCTCCTTCTTGGTGGGGGCATATACATGATCATTATTGGTATGTTCTGCCCCCCTTCAGCACATTTGGATAGTCTGGAAGAGATAAGCAGCATCAAGCCAAACTCTGGATGCTGCATGCCTATTAATTGTGGGAGATCTCAACCTGGACTGGCTCTCTGAAAGCTTTAGCATATTCTAATTACAACCTTAAATTATAATAAAAAATAATTTTGCATCCATTAATCCTATTTTTTTCAATCTCTAATCTGACCATGGCACTGAAAATCTTTGAATCGATGAATGCTTTTGCTGACAGAAATGCCCCCTACAAGAAATACAGAATTAAAATCAGAAACAGTCCTCAGTTCTCCCCACAACTGTCCAATGCCATCCACAATAGAGACAAAGCATTGACCAAGGCTAGATTCACTCTGGTTTTCGCCCCAGCATAAGAACAGCTGCAGTTTCAGTCATTAATAACATTGTCACCTGTCTAGATAACAAACAATCCTGCCCTCTCCATTGACCTGTCAAAAGCATTCGATGCCATTGATCACAAAATCCTCCTTCACAAACTAAAATCCATAGATTAGACAATCTGACACTAAATTGGTTCCACTCACAATGTACGTTTCTTTGCTGATGATACTATTTTATATGCTGCAGGTGCCATCCCAGCTCAGGCCCTGTCTCAGGCCCTGTCTCATCTACAGCCTATCTCATCTACATTCCAATATTCACTGTATAATCAGAAACTGTTTTTAAATGCAAATAAGACAAAATTTATAGTATGTTTTACCTCCAATACTGATTGTACTCATCCTGCCCCTAAAAACATTAAATGGCAACAGTATAACTCAAACAGACTACCTTCATTTCAGTCCTTGACTGTGGAGATATTCAAACTGCCATACAGCCCCATCAATTGTACAGCACTAAAACCCAATATATCACAGTGCATTACACTTCATCACAGAAAACTAATTCTACAAACATCATTGTTCTCTGTATCACTCGGTTGGATTGGCTTCATTAAGAACGAGAAGAGACAGTCATCTCCTGTTACTCATAAAGCTCTGTTGTTGAAACTTCCAATTACCTATGCTCTCTTCTCTCATATATAACCAGTACATACAGCACAAGATCCAGTTGTTGTTTCTTATGTTTAATTGTTTGTTGCTGATTGTGAAAGGGTATTGTTCTCTGGCCTCTCTTGGAAAGAGATCTTGATCTCAATACAAGCTAAGGTTCTCAGGATCTGTAGTGGAGCATTTAAAACATAACCAATTACAGCAATGCAAATTGAAATGGGGAAGTTACCTATAAGGGTCAGAGTAGTGACGAGTATGTTGGCATATTGGGTGAATCTCCAAGGACACAATCATTCACATCCAACAAAGCTGTATTACAGAAGCAATGAGAGAATAATAAATCCAGATTTTTTAGTTTTGGGTGGATAGGGAATGCTAAAGCACAAGAAGTAGGATTATATCAAATTAAAATCAGCCCCAATGTTCCAGCGATACCACCATGGAAATTTGTGATACCATCCATAGTCACCAGTGTGCAGCAAAAACTAAAATACAAATACAATATAATGCCCAACTGTGCAATAGTACGCAATAAGTCATATAAATCAGTATATCAACTATTTATATTTACAGATGCTTCAAAAGAGCCAGAAAATGGGTGTGTAGGTGCTGCATTCTTCATTCTGCAGTGAAACAAAAAAAAGATGAGTCTCAGATCACCTGTCAGTTTATACAGCTCAATCACTGGGTATTCTGTTTTCATTCCAATGGGTGGAGGAAAGTGGCCGGGATAAAGAGATGGTCATTGCATCCCACAGCAGGTCCACAATTGCCAGTATTATGTCAATCATGGCTAGAATTGCTGTCACTCAATGTGACATTTAGTTGTGTTCGCATTGTATTGGATAGTTAAGCATAAAGTATGCATTCCTAAATCATGTTGTGTCCTTAAGTCTTGCAAATATGCAAAAGGATTGGAGTTGGTGCCTGTCTGTCTTGGGCATCTGATTAAGATATGAAAGTCCATTAGCCTAAACTACAATATACTGCTAGTTGGCCCTTTATCTATAACCTGACCTTGGGTACTGCTTGAAGGGAAGGGATAGTAAAATTATAATAAAATAAAAATTGATTTGTCATTTCAAGTAAAATAAGGTTTAAAACAACATAAAGCTTTTAAAAAAGGCATCTTTAAATATGAAAAAATAAAAATAAAAAGATGAGTTTGAGTTTCCCCTTTTCTTCTATTTTCTTAACTACATTTTACATGTAAACAATCAACAAATATTACCAACTAAACATCTTTAATACTTTGTCTTGTTCAGTGACGTAAACGCAGCACAGGTTAAAATAAGACTACCGTAAAAATAGAAACGCAAAATAGGTCTGGGTCCGAATAGAACTGCGCATAGGTCCGGTCCTGTCTCATAATGGGAACTCTTAAGGGTTGTTGCTACACAGGGGAGTTAGTGGGTAACACCGTGTGTGTCATTGTTATATGTTCGTCTGAAGTAAATGACATGTTATGGATAGTGTGTGCCTTGTCATTCATCAACCATCGTCATTTACGAACGCAACATGGTGTCAGAAGAGGGATTGAGAAGGTAAAGTATAAAAGTAAAATAAAGCAACGAAGGCGTCCTGAACCTGAAAGAAAACTGAGAACGGGCAAAAAGACGAAATGGGTGAAGAAGCACTAGTAGCAGCGCCACAGTTAGCCCCGCCAGGCCAGTTCGACTTCAGCAATGCTAATGAATGGCCGAGATGGTTGAAACGTTTTGAACACTACAGAATAGCGTCAGGACTAGACAAGCAGTCAGAAGAGTTTCAAGTGAATGCCTTCATGTATGCAGCGGGAGACAACGCCGAGGAAATCTTGAACGTACTGCCTCTGACAGATGCACAGAAAAAGTCGTACACAGCGGTGGTGGCAGCCTTCGCCGCACACTGCGTCAGCAAACGAAACATCATTTATGAAAGAGCATGCTTCAACAGACGGAATCAAGAGCCGGGTGAGAGCGTGGACTCTTATAACTGCAGTGCACACACTAGCAGAACACTGTGAATTTGGTGCTTTGAGAGAACAGCTGATAAGAGACTGAATAGTGGTCAGCATAAGAGATGCCAAGTTATCAGATCATTTGCAGTTGGATGCAGATCTAACACAAAAGGGGCAGAAAGTGACCAAACAGAAAAACGACATGCAGTCATCTGAATGTAGCAGATGTGGTAATGTGAAGAAGCATTCCTGGGAGGACGGTCCTGCTCGTGATGCAGAGTGTAGGTCATGTCACAAAAAAGGACATTATGCAAAGAAATTGAGATCCGCCAACAGAGTTCACAAGATCACACAAGCACATGAAGAGAGTCCGGACGAGGAAGGTTTTTCCTTCTTAGGAGAGACACGTTCAGCAAAAGCCAATGAATGGATTGAGCGGGTACAGCTGAATGGAGAGGAGGCGGTGTTTAAGCTMGACACTGGGGCAGAAGTTACAGCGATCCCAAGCAGCATGTATACAACTGAGAAGCACGGGACCCTGCAGGCACCACATAAGGTGCTGTATGGACCAGCAAGATACAAGTTGTAGGTAAAAGGCTGTTTTAAAGGGAAACTGTGTATCAGAAAGAGAACAACAGAGCAGCAGATATATGTTGTTTAAGAGTAGGGTAAGCCCCTGCTAGGCCTCCCTGCAATCAAATCTCTAGGACTCATAAAAAGACTACATACAGTTGAAACTCAGCAGGAGGGGTTAAAGCACAATTCCCCACAGTGTTCTCAGGCTTGGGGAAATTAAAGGAGCCCTACAAGATTGAGCTTGAGCCAGACGCTGTCCCACATGCTCTATCAGAGCGGGATTCAGTGCGAACAGAGCTGGAGCGCATGGAGAAATTGGGGGTGATTTCAAAAGTGGCACAACCCAATCCATGGTGTGCTGGCATGGTTGTGGTTCCCAAGCCCAGAGCAAAGATACCAATACGGCTGTGTGTGGATCTAACACCCTTGAATAAGTGGGTAAGAAGAGAGAGACACATCCTCCCAGCATTAGATGACACACTCGCCATGTCGACTGGAGCGAAGGTGTTTACAAAGCTGGATGCAACCTCTGGTTTCTGGCAGATCCCCGTCAGAGGAGAGCAAGCTGCTGACGACATTCATTACACCACTCGGGCGATATGCATTCAATCGCCTGCTGTTTGGGATTTCGTCAGCCCCTGAACACGTCACAGATGTTGGAGGGCTGCACAGGTGTTGTGTGTCATGCAGATGACATAGTGTATGGAGAAGACATACAACAACACAAGGAGAGACTTTATCAGGTCCTGGAAAAGCCAAAAAAAAGAAGGCCTGACACTGAATAGTGAAAAATGTGAGTTTGCCAAGAACAGCATCATGTTCCTGGGGCACCAGGTCACAGCAGACGGTGTGGCCGCAGATCCAGGCAAGGTCAGAGCCATCATGGAGATGCCTGAGCCGTCTGATGTCGAAGGAGTGAAAAGACTGATGGGGAGAGCCAACTACATAGGCAAGTTTTTACCCGATCTT